TCATTACTCGACAGTTGATTGTAGTCAAGTATGTTGATGACAATCAGCACAAATCTTTGCAAAAACCTTTGAGATATTTTTTGTTTATAGTAGAACATTGTTCAGTGCATTTAATTTTCACGACATTTTAATCATCATAATTGGTAAAATTTTCTTCAATTATCAACTAATCTGTTATCCATCAAAGAAAAACAAGAAGAAGTGCTAGATGCAACTAATTGTTTCGTGGTTATTGAATTAGATATAAAGTCAAGCAAGCATAAAAACGGCGAATACTTTTTGCCCTACCCAATATATGACTTGTTATAAAAATTATCATACAAAAATGTACATAAACCGATATGTGGATAGATGATTTACTTACCGCATAGGGTGGAAAATTCCATGTATAAGGCAAATTGTAATTTGCCTCAAAATTATATGAAACGAAAATATTCCGATGAGGTAAATCCAAGGGAACAGCAATTGCTGCAAAAATCTTAAACCAAACATAGTCCTTAATTACTTTTTATTACTTAAACCTTTTTTCATTATTATTTAGCATTAATTAAATTAAATGTTTTTTTTCAAATTTTTAACTTCACATACACCATATGCACTGTTAGTAGGAAACCAAAGCGAACCTGAGACTTCTTCATAAGAGTCAATCGCAAAAATAAAAAAAAATAAAAATTTAAAAACGTTTTTCATTTTCACACTCCGGAGTAACCAAACAAGACCACGATTAATTCAGAACTGAATGAAATTTCTAAAGAATTTTGTTAATACCATGAAGAAGAAATATAACGAAAGTTTAAAGTTAATTAAAAAACCTGTAAAATTTGTTAATTAATTTTATAAACAAAAAATTGTAACATAGATTAATTCCGTATAGAGAAAGTAAAATAAAAAATACGAAAAAAGTGAAAAATGACTTTTACTGCAAAATAATTTTTTTTCTCTATATTCCTTGAGACAACATCTTAATTGAATATAGCAATTCCTCACTAAATAATAAAATAGACTGTAAATTTATTAAAAAAAATAAGTAATATAAAGAGATCGGGGGAATTAATCAATCTATCCCGAGCAAATTTATCCAGGATAGTGGGAATTATTACGGGACACTGCCCGTTGGGAGGACATGCCGTGAGGCTCAACATCAGGACCTCCTTACATTGTAGGCATTGCATGGAGGATGATGAAGAGGAATCACCAACACACCTTCTGCTACAGTGTCCTGCCTTCGCAAGACATAGACTATCCTACTTAGGGTCGCACTTTTTCTATTCATTAAGAGAGCTAGATTCTATTTCCATAGCTCGTGTCAATGGCTTTGTAGCCAATACCAAGTGGTTATAGGGACAGGTGTCAAATTCTTAGGGTATCACAATGGACCTCATGGTCTAAGTGAGTCTTCGGACGGCCCCAGTAACCTAACCTAACCTAAGTGTCGAACGTTCAGAAATGTTTCAATTATATCAATAATTATTTTGGCAGTCAACATTTCAATTAATGATATTTATATAAATAGTTTACAATACATTAATAATTTAAATTTATTTAATATAAAACAATTATTAAACTAAAATAATTATAATTATTTATAATTCATATTTCAAGTCATGGCTAAACTTCTATTATTAGAACCACGTGTACTTAACTTACCATCCCCTCGTTCAAAATTTTTAGTGCACGTCGTTAAGTACTCTTTTGCAGTTTCACAATTGGGAGTTTTATTCCAACTCGCCGATGGACAATTAAAAAAAGACTTGTTTAGTGCACATTTGGCATAGGATGCAGCAATTGGAGAACATTGTTGAAATGGATTTTTCCCTTGAAGTGCCACCCGACTGGATAATTTAAATCTGTTATTTTTTTCAGAAACAGGTGTTTTACATTGATCAAAGCTCAATAGAAGTACGTCAACGAACTCCGGATTATTAGGAATTATATTCTTCAACATAATACGTAAATTATTCACGTTCAATTGATCGTTCTCTAAAGATTTGCTTTCTGTGAATAAGCAGTCTAAGGCACACTAAAAAATAATGTAGTATATTTTAAAATACTGCCTGAGTAACATATAACAGAAAAATATATACCATGCTAGGAACATTATAGTTAGACTGTTGATGTCGACTACATTTTGGATAAGAATTCAAATTTAAAGTTGGTAATTTACAGCACGACATAAAATTCTGCAATTCATATATTTTTAATCGATTAACTATTAATTCAAATAATTGCGAGTAGTTTCGCTTAAATATACACATATATTAACATAAACCTTATTTTACTATAAACTTACCGAAAAATTAGGTTTTTGATCGCAGTTCACAGCACCTTCGCCCATTCCTAAAAGAAAATTAATTATAAAGTAGAAATATAAAACACGGAACGCAGAATATAAACCCGCCATTGTACCTTTTGACATGCAAACGCATTAAACCGATCATTTTATAGAGATTTCTCTAATGGATTAGAATAATTTAATTATTAATAACTATTTAAATTCTTTGAATTAAATATAATATCGCATTAAATGTAGCGTAAAACTAATGTCATTAGACAACATATTATCCAATAGCGTTTAAGAGTACTAGAGTATTATAAAAAATAAACAGTGGCGTAGTTATGTAACTACTGGGATTGAAATTTAGAATTGAGAGGCAGAAGCATAAAATCAAAATTTCATTCATATAGAGTATTTAGTTTTCAATATTGAAATTCAATATTGAAGAATATAAATCAAGAGAAGAATCCCTAAGTTTAGGATTAAGTTAAAGTGGCAGTTTTATGTACTAAAGTCCACTTTACTTGAAATAATGTACCATTGTCATACCACGAACATTGTTTGCAAATTAAACCGAATTTATCAGCATAAGTACAACATTCGTTTAAAAAAACCCGAATCCACCTATCAAGTAAGAATAAATCGGCTCGATAAGTCAATGAACTTAGATGTGTCCCTAATTTAGTCCTAGAGGCTAAATTACATTTTCTATTGACTAGTGATGGGCACTGACACATCTCTTAAACTCAGTTTTCTTCTCCTCTGCAGAAACTCAACTATTACAAAACTTATTATAAGATAGACCATGTCTGAATGTCTTCCTAGCACACAGTGGTCTGTGAGTAATATCGTAGTAGTGGGTTGGTTACGCTTGGATTAGACATTATAACTTAAAGAAGTGCCAGAATATATAAGAAAGTTTCTAGATAGAATGCCAATGAATAAATTGCTAAATGATGTCAAATTCAGCTGTATCATGTTGTACAATGAATGCTACAGACAACGATATTTCCAAATCAATAAAGAAGCGGTAGCAATTGTGATGACAACGTAAACATTTTTTAAATACTTATACGATCGATAATGAAATCCACTGCTGTGCATACGCATAGTTAGACATTATACAAAATTGTTCAGGAAGTTTGACTACGATATTACTTACAAATTTTAAAATTGAATACAAATCTTAATAACCGTCCACTACTGCAATCAGCGCAAGTAAAATAGATACAACAGATAAGTAGCTCATAGAAACGAGTGTGACGAGTTCGGCAATATTATTATATGTTAAATAACTCAACTACTTTTAAGAACAAAATGTATCACAACGAAATCTGGAGAAAAGAAATGCCTGTAGAATAATTAAAATACTTAAAGGTGAAGGAGACAAATCTGCAGACATCAGTTGTTAACTAATACGGGATTACTTGACTTGTAAGCATCGGATCGTTATTTCACCACCTTAATCATAAAATCGACTACAGCTACAGCTAGTGTACCGCAAAAATAAACCACACTACAGAATTGTCTATTGATCAGTTACTTATAGGACATCAATTGCTAACACCCTTTGATATGAATTTATCAATGGATACTATAAACTAAGAACTCCTATACACTATGAAATTCGAGTATACTTCAACGAAAAAAAAGGTAAGAAAATATGTAGATCATATACAAATAGTATTAAAGGGACCTATAACATATCACAGCTGTACATCAATGTCGTTAACGATGCAGGTTATATTTTTCAAGGTTTTATAAAATGAACTCTTACTGATGAATCGAGTCAAAAGGTGGTACTAGAATCTGAAGAGATTCTGAAAAGTTTGCTAAGCCCACCACTGAGGTGAGTCGCGTTTTTATAACTCGAGAAATAAAGATTTTTGATATGCAATTTATCACTTGAAAATTCACCATTCTGCAAAAATATTTTCCACTATCTGGTGTAGTGGATGTACCTAATAGAATGAAAAAGTATAGTTCTCGGGTTGCATGAACATATATTTCAAGTGGTATAACTTATTATTTGTATAAACAGTAACGAGACATTATACTCGGTGGCAATAACTACTACTGTAATTTTTACATTGCTAAAAATGTAGTTACATTGTTCATCGTTCTACCAAAGACTGGAAAAATATTATATATGCCGCCAAATTATTTTAACTAAAAACTTGTGCACTATGAAGTTTATCTGACTGGTTAAAAATGGAATGACACATCATTTATAATTGTCCGGCTTTGGTCTGGGTCAATGGAAAAATTCTGAAGCTTCTGCTTTCTCCTGATATTAGATTTTTTTAATAAAGACTTTACAAAAATTTCCTACATTCCATTCAATTCTATTCTCTTCTCTTCTATTCTTAGTTTTCATTCTGCTCCATAGTTTAACCATGGTTTGCTCTGGATTAATAGAAAAATTCTAAAGCTTCTGCTACCTTCTGATATCAGATTTTTTTAATAAAGTCTTCATTTAAAAGACTAAATCATTGAACATTGTTTCACTGCTCCACTTCACTGTGAGTTCAAAACCTTCCTACATTCCATTTAATTCTATTCTCATCTCTTCTATTATTATTCTGATCTGTGGTTTTGATACTTACCATTTAAATATTTAAAGTTAAGTTTTCTTGCTCTTTAACTATATTATATCATATATACAATGATAAAATTTTAAGTCAATTTTTAATAATTGTCTTTAAAACAGAATTTAATAAAAACTTTAATTGTTTCCAGTTTTATTTCTGGAATTCACCTTCCAATTCATGTCTGAACTTCTATTAGCACCACGTACAATTAACTTTCCACCCCCTCGCTCGAAATTTTTGGCGCACGTCGCTAAGTACTCCTTTGCAGTTTCACAATTTGAGGTTTTATTCCAACTCGTCGATGGACAATTCAGAAAAGAATTTTTGAGTGCACAATTAGCATATAGCGAAGCAACGGGTGAGCATTGTTGAAAGAGACTTTTTCCTTGCAGTGGTATGCGACTGGATATCTTAAAATTTTTAATTTTTTCATACACAGGTGTCTTGCACTGATCAAAGCTCAATAGAAATACATCCATGAACTCCGAATTGGAAATTACATTCTTTAACATAGTACGCAAATTACTCATGTTCAATTGATCATTATCCAAAGCTTTGCTTTCTCTAAACAAGCAATCCAAAGCACACTAAAAATTAATATATTTTTAAATATTGTCTGAGTAATATAAGAGAGAAGAATATATACCATGCTGGGAACCTTATCGTTAGACTTTTGATATTGACTACAATTTGAATAAGAATTGAAATTGACAGTTGGTAGTTTACAGCACGTCATAAAATTCTGCAATTCATATATTTTTAATCGATTAACTATTAATAAAAATTAACATATACCTTTATTTACTATAAACTTACCGAAAAATGAGGTTTTTGATCGCAGTTCACAGCACCTTCGACCATTCCTAATAGAAAATTAATTATAAGGTAGGGATATAAAGCACAGAACGCAGAATATAAACCCGCCATTGAAGCTTTTTGCATTCCAATGCTTTAAGCCGACCATTTTATAGCAATTTTTATAATGAATTAATGGATTAATTATTATTAATAACTATTTAAATTCATTGAATTAAATTTTAATATAATAATAAATGTAGCATGAAACTAATGTCATTAATTAAATATAGTTGGTGATAAAGAAACAATGTAACGTACTTTCCAATAACACTCTACAATAATTGCATTATAAAATATAATTACATTCAAAAATTCCTAATATTGCTCTTATACTCTTTAAATTAGTACAACTACTTAATACTACTATTAACAATTATTTTTAAAGATTTAATTAAAGATCATGTAAATCAAAACAAAAAGTAGTTAATAAAGTGATTAAACTACCTGTCGAACGTCCTTAACTGGTCTACCCTCAGATATATTGCACGATCAAGAACGTTAAAACACTCGCTATAGGTCATGATGGAGTACGCTTCATAAATAGCAATTATTTACATAGTATGTATATGTCTCTTTAAGGTCAATAATATGATACTGTTATTAATGCCAGTACCATGCCCACTAATTTATAGTAGTAGTGCATCAATTGAAGCGCCTAAGAACAAACTAAGTAAATATCAGCACACATTTCGGTTTTAGTTTATATTTCATTCATTCTCTTCATATATAGAGACGAATCGTATTCCTTTCATTAGTCCACTATAGCTGTTTAATAATAAAATGTAATAATCCAACAGCTGCGTTGTGTATTTTTCGGAAATGTGTAATATATACTTAATGATTTAATGGTGCAACAACAATAAAACCATTATCAATATTTTTGATTGTATTGTATATTTGATTTGTTGACATAAGAAAACTATGTTTTGACTTAAAAACTAAATCATTCACAATTTGTTTGTTTCTATTTTAATAATTTATAGGAATACTTTTTTGATTATTTAAATTAACTTTTATGATATTTTAAAGTTATGATCTTAAATTAATAATGAATGTTTATTTCTCAAATTATGAGTGATATATAAGCGGAAACCAGTAACAATATAGAAACGCTGACGTGGTACATATTGTTACCGATATTTTCGTATTTTACGTCCTTGCCAAGCAGCAAATTTTGTATTGACGGATTTCAGCATAACGTTTATATGTTGTGTAATAGAGGAACCCAGTGGCGACAATGCACGTATTGCTCGATTCTAATACAATTGTTTAATAAAAAGTTTTATTAATTTAACATTGTATTATCATGATATGCTCACCTCAAATGGCACTAATTTCGCCTGTTTGAAACGTTGCAACGCTTCATGATGCTGTACTACAGCTTCTTCTTGTTCGATAGAGTTTGGTGGGAAATTAGACCAAAAAAATCTTAGTAATTCTTGGAAAGACAAGTAAATATTACGTAAATCTCTTTCGAAATCTGGTGGCACTAATTCTATAATAAAAAAAAAACATTTTTAATATTTCATACATAAATTTTCACATATTAAATAAAATTATAACAATATAAGTTTACTTACGACCGACTGATTGATCCTGAAAAGCACGCATTATTGCTCCACCAGGACTAAGTTCACCTAAAGCATTAATCGCAGCAGTTGGGGACATCAGAGACCTACTGCGATGTGCAATAAAAGTAGATGCCACGCGTTTAAGGCTATATTGAACTTCTTCTAAGCGACGTGGGTCATCATACGATTGTTGACTATTATTTGGTACTAAACCATGTAAGTAACGTTCCACATTCGAAAAATTAATAAATGCATCATTTTTTGCACTGACTTGACCATCTACGGCAATTTCCGGTACACCTAAATCATCATAATTGATTTTTTCTAAAACTCGTTTGCGCTTAGAGAGTACATCTTCAGTAGTGTTTTCCGATTCCCGGTGGCCGTTAAGTATAATTTCATTACCTTTCTTATGTTTAGACTTGTGAGTACCTCCATTAATGCCATTTGATACACCTTCTAATGCAGCTGCACTACTTGTACTGGCACTATTTATGCTGGCAGTACTTGTACTGGGACCGTTTGTATCAGTGCATGTTTTCAGTACCTTAAAAAAATAATTATATAAGCATAAACTAATGTAATGCAATAATTATATACTTTAATCTTACCATGATTGAATGTTGATTGAAACGTTTGATCATATTTTGATGTACAATATTGTTACTACTGTTACTGCTATTTACCGAAGCACTACCAAAACCTTCTTCCAATGGTACATCTTCGAATTTTTTTAAATCTAAGAAAGGATTTTCCGGTCCACGTTGAATAGCACTTTTAAGCATTTGATCATCAATTTTACCACATTCGCTAAATATATCTTTTGTGCCGGCAGTTATACGATCACGATGAAAATAGTGCGATTGAAAGAATTTTGTCCAAAATTCAGGTTCGCTTAGTTTTGAAGGCACATTCTCTTGATGTTTCTTTTTAACAGCTGGATATGTTTTGAAAATGCTTTGTATAATATCGGCAGTTAAATTGTATTTAAGTCCATTACAGCCATCAGTTTGAGGTTTAATATCGACAAGAAATGCTCCAGATACACCTATAGTATAACAAAATACTCACTATAACTTACACTATAACTTATTATATTACTACGTACCTATATCTTGTTTTACAGTCACTGTTTTCTTTTCCAAATCCTTTGCATGATTTGCCCAAAATTCCTCACTAGTTACAACCTTTGATATAACTAAATCTTTATAAAGTTGTAAGAGTTTTGGATTTTCAGACAATATACGATTCTTTTCTTCGAGTTCTTTATCGACCTTGCGTTTGAAATTTGGTAGTAGTTGCTGTAATAACTCTTTGACTTTATCACGATCTTTAAGCATTTCCTGCTGACCATTACGATTCACAAAATGAAATGTTGAACTATTGCCATCGTGCAATACCACTTGGAGTTGAACTTTTGGCTTACCCTCAGGTGATATTTTTTGCACTACAAAAGCATTAGTTAGCAAACCTTATTACTGATATTTAGACATATTTTTACTCTTAATATCAGCAAACCGATGCGAGACTGCAACCGTATCACGATTTTCTGCCATCCAAGCAAGCCGCTCATTCATGACATATAATGTCCCATCGCCTTTTTTATAACGTACTTCCCCCATTTGCAATAGCACATCCTCGCTACTAGTAGTCATCTCAACAAATTTTTTTTTATTAACTTTCGTATGCCAATTCCAAATCTAATATTTAAAAAAAACGATATAGTTAAGAATAAACGCAATTAATATAAAAACCAAGTAACTGTTAAATATCATTTAGATTAAAAATGGAAGTAACGCAATTCTTATAGGAATGGGGCCGTCTACAAATTTCTTTGCCTTTTATACTTACCAATATAGTGCTTTATAGTCACTAAAATAGTTTATTTAGTATATGGAAACACATAATACAAGCCAGTATTCAATTCAAAAAGGCACTTTAAATTATTTTTATAATAATAATTGAACACTCTCACCTTTACTTGCTGAAGCGACGACAACCGAAGCAAATATAATGTGCCAAAATTGACATTTGTCATATACGGTCAAAACAGGGTTGTTTTACTGCACGTAGTACATTTTCATGAGCTATGTTTATTGTTCGATTTGTCTTGCATGAAGCAAGGAATAAGGTTTACACAAATCTCTTAATATTAACTATAACAACATACATTGGTATTGATTTATTCTTCCTAATTTTACTTTATTCACAAATTTATTCACATCTATTAAGTCTAACAAAAATTTTTATTAAATACACACAATGCAACATTTAGATACAACTCTGCATTTAAATTGTAATAAATTTAATCTTAAGATTTGACTGCAACATCAATGTCATTGCTTTAATCACAATTTAAATTATAATTATTATATATTATATCTTATATATATTATATATACAAACGAATTAATATTATACATATGTTTTTTATATTTATTATCATAAACAAAACGTCAATGAAATGATTTTTTCTATTTTATTATTTCTATGCGTGAACTTATTTATCTTATGCACAAGCCATTACATTCTATACACAAACCACTTAGACCAATTATAACGCTAACCAAATGGTGTGTTTAATAATTGCATAAAGTGAATTTAATGAAAAATTGTAACTCCGTGTTTACAAATTCAGCGCCAAATATGTATAATATTTTCATAGCATAATATATCAGGATATAAGACAAACCCAATTTCAGCTAATCGTGAATATATCTAATTAAGTTAAAATAAAAGTTAATCAATATGATCCCATCACCTTTAATGATCCAAAAAAAAAAACTTTAATTTATTATTAAAGTTGGGCTTAAATGCACTGAAGTTATAACTGAAGTTCTTACACATTACGAACTTTATCTACCAAGCTTTGTTCAAGTAAGTTTCCAAACGTCAAGCTTTTAACCGTCATTTTGGGGTTTTCATTTGAACAGTTATTCTAGGGATATTTTTATTTGTTTACGTCTTGACTAATTTATTATCATACATAACCATATATCATTTTGACATCTTTGTACCAAACATTCAGTTTTCAGTAAAAGAGGAGCTTTGGTTGTGCCAATTTTTTTGTTTACATTACTAATTTTGTGGTGGTGCTGCTTTTTGCCACACTAAAAAGCTAATATTTTTCGTAGTGCATTTTACCGAATACAACACTGCAAATAATATAATCTGCCAGCTGATTTATTTCGTTTAACTATGTAATATGCAATTTAAATTATATTAATTAAAATAATTTTTACATTTTATTTTATAAATATATTGATAAAGATAAATTATATAAAAATATACACAAAATATTCCATATACACTAGTGACCTCTTTCTATTTTACGTCCCTTTTCAAGTAAATCTCTGAACGATTTGATTTCCTGCCGTGGAATCGCTTGTCGATATTTATTGTGTAGCAAACCATAAATAAAATTTAATTCGGTAGCTTCGTCATGAAGACCCTCAGGTAATTTGGCTAGTAGTGCACGTTTCTCACAAATAAACTGATCTATTGTTGTAGAGCTATCTTGCTTTCTATCAAAAATTTCCATATATATTTGATAAGGTGCCATAACAGGTGAGAAATTGTCACGCAGCATTTGGAGAGCATCATCCCATGTCTTAGCATCACGTCTTACCCCTTTCCACCAAGTGCTTGCCTGGCTATAAAATAGCAGCGATATGCCTTTTAACGCATCTGTATCACTTATACCCTCCACCTATATACATTTACATAGAAAATGATTAAATGTTAATGCTTTTTGTTTACATTTTTTTTTAATATATGTTTGTTGATATTTACATCTTTATATGTTTGCACTGCTGTTACGAATTCATCAACCGCGTCATGATCGTATTGTCCACCGAATCTTGTCGTGCATTTACTGAAGCTGCCCTTGGATTTTACTTCGGTGATTTGTTCATCTGCTGGCGCTAATTTACGTATTGTTTCAATTAAAGTTTGAAATTGTTTATCTGTTAATCTGCCGACCGCTGTCATTTCCCTGCCTCAACAAGAACAGTGTATTTTCGCACTATACCAAAATTTTGTTTGTGCAAATGTTTTCATAATAACAGAAATTCAAATAAAAGCTTTTCAATGACTCAACGAAAGCTTTCAAAATAACAAAAAGTTTTGGTGAGAATAAAAATTGCCAATGGTACTCCCATTGAGAAACTTAAATTTCTTTTTAATAAATTTAAGTAGGTAGTTTTTTTTTTTTGGTAAAAATTCACAGAACACGTTTCTACAAAGACAATTTTTCCTTCATACATATACATACCATATCCGTATACATGTATATATGTACTTAAGTATGTATATCTAACTACATGCGAATATATTTTTAAAAAAACAGCAAAATGCTTTATACTAATATTTTATTAACAGTTATTGTTATTAAATTTTTATTAAAATATTGCAGAACAAATTTTCAGCACAAAGTATTTTTTTTTGTATTTTAGTATTTTTTTTTCTGAAATCTCCATATAGAACTAAAACCCACTATGACCTCATACTAGAAATTAATTGTGAAAAGATTTCTGTCATTGGAGCATATAAAAGCTGATCTCCGATATCGATATCGATTAGTTTCTGAAATCTCTATATAGAAATTAAACTTACAATGACCTTATCCTAGAAATGAATTTTGAAAAGATTTCTATCATTGGACCATATAGAGCTGATCTCCGATATCGAAATACGGTAGAAAAGGTTAAAGAAAAGTGGGTTAATATTCAGCAATCTAAATACTCTAAACTCGTTAGCAAGATTAATGTCTATGAAATTAAAGGGATTGAGATAGTTGAAAGAGAAATAAGGGGTGAGCTAGCTGTGCAACCAGAATCTTAGAAGCTATGGTTATAAGGTGAAATGGAAGTAAGAGTATTTCCGGCTTCATTCATATGTATGTACATATGTATGTATGTATGTATACATTTGGCAAATCCTGAAATGGTCTTCAGTTTAAAAATCCTGACATTTGCCAAGGTCCTCAAAAAAGCAAGCCCCTAAAATAGTGAATGGGCGCTGTGCCTACGCTGGACAGCAACAAAGCAGATGTGAGACAGTATCATGAAACTATTAAAAGTGGGGATAAGGCTATTATACATTTCTAAAAGTTTTACAATTTCAAAGACTTTAATTTGCAAGGGCTTTACATTTCCGCATTTCTTCCCTAAGCTGTACGACTAAATCTACTTTAAGGAGTATAAAAATGTCAAATCAATCAATTAATAAGAAAACCCCCTAGAAACTGATAAAAAATTGATTCTATGAGTAAATATGGATAATAAACATATAAAAATATATGTATATATGTATGTATGTTTTTTGTTCCATATTAAACTATTTCATCGACAACACCGCCTAACCTAATATAAAATGTTGTAAATTCCATTATCACCCGATTCCATTTTATGATTATGTGCTTATCATTATTTCTGGAAGATGATAATAGAAATATTGCTTGTAGTATACATAATATATATATGAATAAATTTTAACGTAAGGTTTTAAAAATAACTAATAAATTGTTTATACATTTACGGACATACCATAAACATCACATACCTTCCATACATATACAGGGTATTCAACCGATATAAACATACGAGGTGATTTTAAGATCCCTTAAACAAACAAATCGTATAGAAGAATGGTTCTTCAGAAACGGTTGAGAAAATGTAGGATTTACTCAAATAGGTGTTTGTAATAAAGTTAAAATGTATTTAGTGGTAAAATATTACATCCAAACTGGATTTATAAGCTTTTACGGAATTTATATAATCTTTTATTTGTAATTTAATCTGAATGGGATGTGCCAATATTTGTAACAAAAACGTAACAGCAACATATGGTAAGACTTTTCACTGCTTTCCTAGAAGTTCTTTATAAAACACTTAAATCATATCAACATTTATTATCACTACCAGCCGATATTTCTGGCTAAAGTTGAGCAACACAATAGTTTTTAGTTTAAATCGAACTTTGTGATTCAGTTAAGGATCTAACAATATCAATAATAAACACAGACAAAAGTCTATTTAGACATAGCCGCAAGGATTTACTTTGCAGCAAAATATGTAATTTTTTATACAAAATGTATACAAAAGTGTACTAATGACCTTCGATAATAGTTAGTGTAAACATAAAACTAAATTTATACAGCTTTAATACATGTCACCCTGTATATATATGTGTACGAGTTCATGAATGTTAACTTTATCTACATATATATTTATGTACCTACATGTATTCACTTAACAAAAAAGTGATTAGAAATTCTCTAAAGCTCAATACACCTGAAAACACCCGCAGTATTGATAAAATAAAAATACTTAATACATGATAGGTAAAAGCTTAATAATTCTGTCCACTAAGTGTGATGGCTATAGTCCAAATTGACTTTATCTGATGTATAAGAATAGTTGGGTTTATAGGTGCTGCTTACGTTTCATGACATTTCTGTTTTAATGATTTAGCACTAATCACCTATAAAGTCAATGCACCTTCAATAAGTAGTGATGCTTCTGAACTTAACATTGATTTGTTAAAGATAAATTCTTCTTAGTATCCGTTTCCCCTAGTAGGGTATAGGGTCACAACGATTCTCTTAAACCACACTATGTTAGGTGCTTCTCTGCATATATCGTTCCATGTGTGGTGCGCTTTTGTGATTTCTTTTTCAAAAATAAATTAATTTTTTTTATTTGTTTTTGCCCAACTCTTGCTCGGTGGCGACTCAACTCTTTAGGGACACCCCTCGCTGAGGATTTTGATCAATTACAAGACTTCCCACTAAACATTCTAAGCTTCACTAAACATTCTTACCTCAGTGGATCCCGTAGGTATCGCAGATATAACATAATCTAACGTAATCCATTTGTTTTTATTTTACCATGGATTTTTTTTGCGAAAAGTATTGACAGCAATAATGAGACCTTATCCAACTTAAGGATAAGGATCCAACTAAGGAATTAAAGGCGAAATTAAAAAAGAATTAAGGGAGAAAATTTCCAACACTGTGCTGGAAGGCATTTGGTTAAACTCTATACCAGTGATTGGGGGTGAGAGTTTAGACAAGAAAAGTAGGTGACAGAAATGGGAGCTGTTCTATGAGCTAATACAATGTCCAGTATTTGAAACCAGTAACTGTTTTAAAAGTATTAAGTTTTTAGTGACCTAACTTTGGCTTTTTATTAATCACATACTTTACTATCCCTTCAATTTTACTCGCAAATATACATACAGACATCAATTTATTTATCTTATCTACCTAAATATATGTTTTAAGATAATTAAATTTGAAGATAACCTTTCTAATATTGGTAAATCCTATCAGGAACACTTGAAATATTGCTAAAATATAAATATGTGGTAAATGATAGGTAAAAGTTGAATACTTATAGACCATATAGACCATATTTGATGTATAAGACCAAGATTAGTATGGGAATTAGGTATATATTTTTTTAAATTTTTATAATAAATACAATATAATATATGTATTATATTATTGTATAGTTTATATTGGTACATATTATATTATTGTATACGTGTTATGTATGCAATATCGTGGTATAGCAATTTCATAATAGCTTGAAAATAGCCGGCAATTCTTGGAAATTGTGTTTGTTGTCTGTTGTTTATAAGAATAAAAAACACTATATCCATACCGAATACCTATTGACACTACAAATTCAAAAATTGTATGAATTTTAAGGGAGCAATAATAAAATGTGTAATAAATAAAATTTATATACTCGTGCATATGCATTCCGATGATCTATAGAGCTGAGTGTATGACAACAAGAATGTTTGGGCTAATGAATCACAATGGCGTCGTGGCCAAACTGAAAGCGGTAGTAAGAGTTGGGAGGTAGTGCTAAAAAAATAATATTTATTTTTTATACAATAATAAAAAGCTTTTTCTCTTTGTATGGGAAATCATTTCACAATTATTCTCAATAAAATTTTGATATAAAAGGCGTTTGCCGGCATAGAAAATTTAGTCTCAGACGAGAACTCGACGTTACACATTGAATAACGCGGCAACATTCGCCACTCTGGCTTTGTACGCTGTGAAATCATATATCAAAGTTTAATTAATTAGAAATATAAAACTTTTAAAGTAATTTTATCACAAAAAAAAATCAATAATTGCGTGTTAGTTGTGCTTAGATAACCACGGTAAAAAAAAAAAACATAAACCAACAAAATGGCGACACAAATGATTCCGATGACAAATGAACAACTACAGCAACTCATCCAAGCTGTACGCGAAGCTGCGGTAGCCGAAGCGAAAGCAGCTGCCGCCTCCACAATGACCGTTAAGTCCAAAGGCAGTTTCAGCAATTGTCAATCACGTTTCGGTGGACAACGTGATCATGAAGCTGTCGAGGAGTTCATCACATCGATTGAAACATACAAAGACATCGAAAGTATAACCGATGAAGAGGCACTGAAGGGTATCTCATTGCTGTTCTATGGCATTGCTTCTACTTGGTGGCAAGGTGTACGTAAAGAAGCCAAACAATGGCATGATGCGTTGGCACTTATACGCGATCATTTCTCGCCCACCAAACCCGCATATCAAATTTATTTAGAAATCTTTGAGAAGAAACAAGATGATAGCACTGCCATTGATACCTTCGTATGTCACAAACGCGCCTTATTAGCACAATTGCCCACAGATCGTCACGATGAAGACACTGAGCTCGATTTGATTTACGGTCTACTCAATATAAAATACCGTAAACACATTGCACGTCACGATGTAAAGACATTCCGTGAGTTACTCGAACAAGGGCGTATTATCGAGCATAATAACTTAGAAGACGAAACAGCAAACAGTGGTCCAGCTCGTGGTGCAAAGGGTACAAAACGTTGCACATATTGTAATTATCGTGGTCATACCACTGAAGAATGTCGCAAGCGTAAAGATGCTGGCGACAAATAATTGCACAACAACAACACAACGCAAAAAATAACATGATGTCATCCAACACATAAGCAGACTTCCAAAAAAGAA